TATAAAAGCAGCTATAGTAGTTGAAATAAATAAATTGCCATCATAAAGATTTAAATTCTTTTTTGTTTAAATAGCGCTTCATGTTTGCATATTTATGCTTTTATTAATTTATAATTGAGTCAATAAATGAAAAGTATAAAATATATAGATTCGTTAAGCAGATTTTTTTTAAAAAAATTATTTTTAATGGCTTTGCATCTACTTTTAAAAAACTGCGAATATTATTTTAAAATTAAATAAAAATCGCTTAAAAATTAAAGCTAAGACAGTTGCGATTTTGAACTCACGTGTGAGTTGGTTTGCCGCTTTATTTGGAACGCAAAAAAGAAAAGATTACATAATAATTATTTGATGACATATTATTTGATGACATAATTATTGTTTGAAGATGTAATAATTGACGTAATAATTATTTGATGACATTTATTGAATATTTGATGACAAAGTCGATGATTCATTCATTAGAGTAGTCATTCTTTAGCTTTAGTTTCTTTTCTTCTTCTATATTTTAGTGTTTTTTTAGGCTTTGCTGACATTTTTCAAAAAAAAAAAAAAGTTTTCATAAGTGTGCCAAATGTTGCTCGATTCTGTTGACTTTCGCCAAATGAATGGTGGCTGGAAGCTTTCTAGTTATGCTCAAAACTTTTCAAATCAACTCACTCGTCAAGTTGCACAGTTAGTAAAAAAAAAGTTTGATGCGTAAAAATAAGACACCAAAATAAAGTTTTTAAAATATAGTTAATATTTTTGCCTCATAAACATAAAACCGTTAATTATTATTTTTATTTATTGTTACTGCTTGGAAAAAATATTCTGAGTTTAAATGCGAAAAAAAAAACTCTACAGATGTTGATTAAAATAAATTTTATATCAGTAATATTTTTAAATACTTTTGATAAACCGTTGAAGTGTAAAATTTTAAAATTAATATTAAAATACGATACATATTTTTTACTTTCCTTAATTCTTTAATAAAAGCATTGTTTTTAGCCGTTATCAATATGCATTTCACTGTTTTATAAAACTGTTATCTAAGCATTTTATTTGTAAGCATTGTAGTAGAACTAAATTATTTAATCTGAAAGTATTTTCTTTCTTCAAAGATAAATTAAACTCAGTAAAAGCATTTTTGAATTTGAAGTAAACATTTTATTTAAATTCTTTAAATGTTAAAAGCTTTCGCGATCAATTTTTACGCGAGATATTTTGTAATATATAAAATATTGGAATAATTATATTTTTGAATTTTGTTACATTTAATTTATCTCCTTTTAAATTTTTGAAATTATACTGATTTAATAAAATAAAATAAAGATTTGATTATTTTTAAGTTTTTTTGTAAGAAATAAAAACTAAGCCCTATTTGGGAGAGGGTATGAAGATTTTTTTTTTACATCTTCATAATATCAAACAAATTATGTGGCTTGCATATGCAGCAGCAACGTATATAACAAGTTTATAAAAAGTTTCAAGTGGTATTTATTGATGTTGGGTTATATGCACAAACAGAACTTCATAAGCTGCTGTTACATACGCTTAATTCTCTTAATAAGAATAACTTGGATTCCTTTTTTATTTTTCATTTTATAGCACGCCAAAGTTGTAATAATAGTTCTATATAAAAGGTGTGTTTTAATGAATACTCTTAATATATACTTTTAAATAATTTAAAATGAGCAAAAAATGCATATTAAGGATTGCAAATTAATCCAATCAAAGTATGAAATAGTTTTGAACAAATTTTGAGAAACAAACTTGAAGAAAAAAACTTCAAAATAAGTAAAAATGGAAAAATGCCAAAAGATGCTAAAACTAAATTTGTCTTATGTAAACAATTTAAATAAAAGTTAGAAACCAAAAAAAGAGCAAAAACGAAATTCTAAAGATATGTATGTTAGCAAAAGTAGTACTTCATCAGAGGACACATTGTCTGCTCTTGTATGTTAACAGACCGTGTGTCCCCATATGAAGTGCTGTTTTTGTTAACATACATATCTTTAGGGTTGCAAACTAATTAACCAAGGAAAAAATAAAAAAAACTTTCTTAAAATCTCTCAAATGACTAGGAAAAAAGGGGAATTACAATATCAAAAGCAGTTTGATTGCATGATGAAACTTGAAGGTAATTATAATCATCGTATTAAAATTACTTTGTTTCTCCGGACAATCAAACAGGTTTTGATGCTTTCACTCTCACTTTCCTTAGTCAAATTATCAAGATTTTGTTTCGTTTTTGCGTTTCCCAAATTTAAATATTAATTTGAGACTCCTTATATTTTCTTCATTTTTGACAAGAATTCTAAAATTACATATTAAGGTTGGCCATAATGAAACACCCACCTTGTATAGTTTAATCCTCACGTTTTTAAATAGTACGTGGTTTGTTACCCAAATATTGCTTTGTGTACCAAAACATGTATATGGTTGTGCTCAAAATAATCAAATCTTTATCTTCTATAAATATCTAAAATATTTATTTTGGAATTTTGTACTCTTAAGGGAAGGTTATCAATGAAAATAATTTTTTTGTACATTTTAAAATGATATTGTACATTTTAATATAAACTTTAATTTAACAGTTGGTCAATACCAAGAAAAAAAAATTAAATTGAATTTATAAATGTTAACACATTTTTGTAAGATTTTAGGTTTCGTTACAAGTTTTAGGATATAAAAAACCGTTTAAGATGTGTGTATTACAAAAAGTTTCGTGAAATAGATTAATTTTCGTGATAAGGTATTTTAATTACGCAATTGGAGTCTCGCGTGATGACGTCATAGGTAAATTTTCACGCCATTGGTAGAAAGAGCAAAATAATTAAATTTCTGCAACATAAAATATACGTGTATTTTTTTGTGCATTTTCTAAAAGTTCAGCAAAGGTTGAGATTTGAATCGCTCTAAGGCAAGGACACCAACTTTAGATTTTTCCGTACCTAAATATAAATATTTATTCACTATTTATCTAAATTTGGAAATATTTTTGCTTTTGCAAAATTCATTGAATATTGAAATTCCGATAACCATCTAAATATCTTTTCGATACGTAAACAGAGTTTAAATAGCTATCGGGTACATAAAGTACATTGTTCTTCTAATGCACTCAAATTAACATTTTATTTAGTTTTGGTGCATGTAACGATATTTATTTATCAAACTTAATCAAATACGCAAATGCTGAATTCAGGTAAAAATAATGGATAACCAATATTTTTGAAAAGATCTAATAATCTTACTTAAAACTACATTTTAAATTGAAGCTATTTCTGAAGTAACACTACTTAGTAATTCAAATAAACAAACGAAATTACTATTATGTTATGAAATAATATAAACTAAATAATATAAATGAAATATTCATCCAATTCATACAACCATATCGATGCTTGCTTAAGAGTAATGGCAGAGATCTTCTTTAGATTCATGGAAGAGATGACTAATTTATTCTATGTTTTGGCAATGAAGATAATACTTTTCTAAACCATATAAACAAATTTATGCCTCTAACCAACATTTTAATATTATATTTCGAGTCATATAGTTCTATCAATGCTTTCAAGAAGCCTCTTCTTCAAAGCCATGATAGAGAGGAATAATTCTTTCTGTGATTTTGTTCGAAAGCATTGCGTTTCTAATGCATCGTAACTTTAATATGACTCTTCTCTATATATCAATTTCATTTTGCTATCCCTTCAGCTGTATCAGTGCTTTTTGAAAAGCATCTCCTTCAGAGCCATTGTAGAGATGAATCATACATTCTTTGAAGAATACTATGGTATCGAAACACATAATGCAGGATACGACATCTCTTCATAGTTCTTCAGGGTCGTTTTAAAAATGAATCATGCACCCATAGAGGAATTCCACAGAGCCAAAACACATAACGTATGATTCATCATCTCTATGTAGTTCTTCAGGACCACGGTAGAAATGATTCCAGAAGAATTCTACAGTACTTAAACATAGAATATATGATTCATCTCTACATGTTTCTTCAGAGCCATGAATCTTAAATTCTGGGTTTTGATACTTAAAATATTGGTTTTTGAAAGCACCGAAACAGTAGTACGTCTTTGAACGTTATTTTAATATTATGTTGTTTAAGTTTTATATCTTCAAGCACCCATATTATGTTAATATGAATCATATGCGATTTAAAAGCTTTAAATGTTATACTTTTTAATGGTCGGGAATTAATGACTATGGAAAAAAAAAACGGTTGTAGTTTGTAGTCGAGAATTGATCACTATAGAAACAGAACCGTTGTAGTTGGTAGCCGGGAATTAATCACTATAGAAACAGAACCATTGTAGTTGGTAGTCGGGAATTAATGACTATAGAAAGAAAAAACCGTTGTAGTTGGCATCCTTGCGCTAAGGTTAATTGTCTCGTATTGGAATAAGTGCTGCATCTTCGCCTTACATCATTGAGCTTCTAAGGATCGAACAGCAAGTATTGGACTTTCACAGCTGTAACAGACATCAAAACCATTTTCTATTTGTTGGACAAGTCTTTGAACAAACAACATGAAGGGACAAAAGTACACATAAACGTTCAAATAAATATCACTCAGTATTTCATTTTGTGTGTATACGGTGTGTGAATTTTTGCATAGGGAAAAAAATACTGTCCCGGATGAAGAGTCAGAAGTAAAACCATCACAGGTTTCATACTCTTTAAGGCCCCTGTAAAGGCTCAGCTTTTTCGACTGCCAACTATTGTGACAAAATAACTAACAAGAAATTATTAATTAACTAGAATTAATAATAATTAACAAGAATTAATAATAATAATTAATTATTAATAATTAACAAGAATTAATTTTTATCACTGCAAAATGATACTTTGACTGTGAAATTTCATTCTTTCTGCCAAATGTTTTTATACTGTAAGAAATATTTATATCGTGAAAAATATTTATACTACGAAAAACACCTTTACTGTAAAAATTATTTTTGTTGTGAAGTGAATTTTATAATATAATAAATCGAAATTAAATTTTTTAATCTAAATTATTTTTCATAAATGCTATATTCTGATTATTTCTGCAATGTAAATATTTTTATTAATGTTATTTAACTGTTTTTTATAACTTAATGGTGTTTTCGCATAATGCAAAAATGATTATTGGTCATAAAATGGAATTTTTAAATTTTATGTTCATAAAAAAAACGTATTAATAAATAAATTCTGTGACATATAAAAAAGTGGAAATTGGTTTAGATATAATTTTTCTTCTAACAAAAGGAAACGTCTGTAACAAAATAATGAAAGATGATGATGGTGTTATTTATTTCTTTTTAGAATAAAAAAAATAACATTTTATGAGAATTAGAAGTTGATGTCTGAATAATTTAGTTGCCTTAGGAAATTAAAAAAAGGCTTAATTTAATAGTTAATTTATATTTTTAGTCTTTGTCTAAATAAAATTAAGATTAGTCTTTTTCTGTTTGTAGAAATACTATCATTTTCATTTTTCTTAGACAATTTCTGTACTCAACATCAATACAGACAATCATTAGGCATTTCGGCAAAATTTCTAACTTTGAAAGCCCACGATAGGTTCGTAACTTATCAAAACCTAACCAATATGTATTTTACCATTCAGGACACAAATCGATACTCATTTGTTTAAACGCAAACCAGCCCAATAATTTGACTAGATTTAAAATAATTGCATTTCGTAACTACTATTTACTAACAATTGGGATATAGGGACTCGATACGAGCTTAACTATTAGAGGTTTGGTGTCGATGGCGTTGCTGATAATACTGCACCAAACAATCAAATGATCTGTGGTTCTCCATCCGGGACAGTACGGTGGAACGTGGTATACGTCCTGATACATCGTTTCCATTCTGTTTTGTTCGACTGTAAACCGACAAGGTTTATTTTGATGCTTGGAGTAATGGTTATAAGGCCAAAGGGATATATTTTCATCAAGATCTTGTTCTGGTGCGAAAACTGGAACCAGAACCAACGGATTTACCTCGGAAGGCCACGTGGAAGAAGAAGTAGAACCTTTTTCCTTTGTTAAATGTTTCATTTTTGCTAACCTAAGAAGGCTCTTTTCAGTTTCATTATAGAGTGCTGATCCTAACAGTACCACTTCCAATTCCTCCACCACCAACACCGCTTCCGGTGCCACTGGTGGTACCAGGTGGACTGCCGACGTTTGAGGGATTTCGGTCAGATTCTGGGTGAGGCAGGGTGACAACCGTAGCAGTGCCTGAGCTGGACACGGTGGTGGCTACGGTGGCGTTGCCCAGGCTAGGACGGTGGAAGTGGCCGCCGTCCGGTGAGGTCCGGTTCTGTAACCGCACTTGGACATCGTTTAGCTCCTCTTCGTGGTCAGATGATGTTGTACCCCGGTGATGCTGTACCAAATGGAGAAAGTAAAAAGAACAAAAATTAGGTTGCACTGCATTAATAAGAACAGTTTAAATCAATCTACAAAATGAAAGGACAGTTGAAATTGGAAGAGTGCATGATATATCGAAAGTAAAATATAAGTTAATACGAGTTTCAAACAAATTGAATGCTTCTTTTGCTACTTAACTTGTATACAACACGTTCTGAAATATTAATTTAAAGAATTTCTGCTGATAAAATCATGTTTTTTGATCAAGCAATTTGTATATAATAAAAATATTGTGCTTTCTTGTTGTTGGAATAAACAGCTTTTTTTTTTACATAAGAATATGAAAGAAGTTTATCAGCATGAAGTAAAAGGTAAATACAATTAATGTATAAATACACTTGCTGATTCTTCGATCAGACTTTAGAAATTTTTAGTTATAAATACCAAGTCCTTTTTAGATATCTATACTCATATATGTGTCGATAAACGTAGATATCGATATATTTATAAATAAAATTATATAGTTTATTACAGCTAAAGAGAAACACGTAGAGAGAACTTGATTTTTATATTAATAAAACGATAATAGCACTTACTTATTTTGTTAGACATTTTATACTATTTACTCTCTGTTTGAAAATACTGAATAAAGAAAAAAAACTTAGTAAAGATTGAATAACCTTACTCATTTGATATATATTATTTGAGAAAATTTAACGAAAATGACTGAATATTTTTAATTTGATATGAAGATTAGTTTTAAAGATTTAAAAATACAATTATTAAAAATTTAGAATAATACAGATTTAAGAATTTTTTACTCCATTTTTCAATCGGATTATGCAACTTGTAAAAAAAAAACCTGAATTAAATATCGCTGAAATTCAAACAGTTGTTATTAAAAAAAGGGAAAAAAAGAGATAGAGTTAATCATAACTTACAAAGATGTTAGTTGTTGTTGCTTTATATAAAATTTGTAAAATTAAAGAAGACAACATTAAACTACCTTATATTACAATCACGCCAAAATTCCCTGATACACCTATCACATTTCGATTTATCAGTTTTGGTATTAATACTTATACGAATACACCAGGTAAATTGTTGCTAAATATTTGAATATTTTACTTGATCGGAATTTATTAGGATTATTAAGTATTATAAACCAGTTTTTATCTTTATGAATAATAATTACTTTGCACCCATTGAATCTTTAGACATCAAGGACATTTTTGCTAGTATACCACTGGCCAAACTTTAAGATGTTCTTTTCTCATGCATTTATAATTTTAGAAATATTCTTGATATCGATTTTGAATAGTGGCAAAATATTGCTTAATTCTGTATTTTTAATAATTTTATCTTCAAATGAAGTCTTTCTGCAGATTGTTGACAGACCAAAAGGTGCCAATTTTTCAAGTATTCTAGTTAATCTTTTTTTTACACTACTTTGAAAAGAATGCTGCAATTTTCATTAGGAACGGATTCGGATTTATTGATAACTTTATTATATTTTATTGTATAGATTTTATTGGCATTGCAAACGCAATTTATCCAGAGAAATTGACTCTGCTAAAAACTAATCAGTCTAATTTATCGTCAGAACTTCTTTACTTATTCATTTCTGTAACAATTTACAGAAACGTTATCTTATTTTAAATTAGTCGCCTTAAGCTTATTTGTAATCATGATACGCATATTATAAATAATCGTAAATTTTTACGGAAACTTCTTGAATAAGAGTGCCCGATCAGATTTACAGAGAGGTACCTGGTTTAGTAGAGGATTGCCTTCCAGAGCGAAATAATGCTTAACTTTATACTATGGTAGGGTCACCCTTTTCAATTATCCTTAATAGTATTTCTAATTAATAAGTCCCATTTAATTTTTATTGAAAATATCGTGGATTTTTTGTTCTCTGTTTTGGCATCTAAACTTTTTTAATACTCGAACTTGCGACCCTTGACTCTCATCCGGGAAATTGAGTTTCCCTTCTGTTAAATATTTAATTATATATTAAATTCTTAATAATATATTAAATAAATAAATTCTGTTAAATATATATAGATAAAATATAATTCCTTACTTCTACTTCGATTTTCGGGATCTCAGTATATAATCGCGATATGACTTGCTTTTGGTTTCTTGCTTAGCTTTTCTTCTTGGGGCAGTCGGGGGTAAGGTTGCTTATGGTATATTACTGTCAGCTGCAGAAACTGCTGACGACATAGTAATGACCCCCCTCCCTCTTGATTCTGCCATGTCTGTCAGTGCTTCCATTTCAATTTCCATTTTTTTGTTCCCTTTCTTTTTGTGTAATGTTTAGATGCCATTTAGATTATTTACGATTTCCTGTTATTCCTTACGATTTCCTATTATATATATATATATATATTTCCAATTTTGAAAGGATAAAAAATTATTTTATAGGTACTCACGACAAAAATTTTAATANTATATATTCCTTTTTAATGAGTAGTTCCTTTTTAATATTTTAGAAACGTTTGATAAAATGTTTTCAAAACTAATTATGTAAAATATGTAAGATTCCTAATTTAAACTTAGTGTTTTTTAAAAAATAATTTTATTTTAAGAGTTCTACGCATTTTTCTTTCTAATTTTTGGGAAATCTGTATTTGTTTGAAAATTTACCTGGCTATTTCTTATGCAATTTTCAAAAAAAAACTTTTGTGTAATTAAAATTATAGCTATTCATTCAGTTACTTATTCTATTTATTTAGTTATTATTTAACCACAATAAGTTGGAGGGTGACACGAAAGCTTAGAAGAGTTTACTTGTTTATGGGTGGAGAAAGTTAAAGTGCGGTAAATATGAGCGCATTTCTTTTGGCGAGAATTCTAAACCGGTAACATTTTGATTCCTCGGTTCACTGCGATAGCTCTTTATCTTTAAATAAGTTTTTTTAGAGCTCTTTAAAAAAGTTTTTTTTTATTCCTTTCTTTTTTACAGTACGCCGAATAAAATATCTATATTCAATTTCACTTGAATTTCCTTTTCTCTTTCGCTTCAAATTTCATTTGCCTTTTCCCCCTAAAATCGCTGGAATAAACTCTACCGGTTTGCTTTACTCTCACTTTGCCCACGCCAACTCGGTATGGGTAGAGCCCCTGAATTAAACAGGCCGACTTATCATTTATTTTTGGAGCAAAGAGCTAACATAAGCACATAACATAACTAATACTAACATAACGTTAACTTGCGAACTTGTTTGCTCCAATATTGCTTGATAGGTCAGCTCTGATAGTATAGGAGCCTTAGGTATGGGAGACTTGATATTAAATTGTGCAAAATTTCCCTAAAAAAATAATGTATATAGAAGTTCTAAATTTTAAATATAATTTTCTGTTCTCAGCGGTTTTATAATTCTTTCTAACAATTATTTATTTATTCTACTTGGCTTAATATATAAACGAATTTCGAACGAAACGAATTTAGCTTTAGCATAAATACCTACAGTGTTTTCTTTAACTAGTTTAAAATTCAGCGCCAATTAAGCTGAAATAAAATTATTCAACTTAAATTCTCTTTCTTTAAATGTAAGAAATATTAGTTATTCATTAAAATTATATGACATGTTACACTAAATTATTTTGCATAATCATATATTCATAGATTCAAATAATCTTTTGAATACATATATATACGATGGATTTATAAACAAATATTATTAAATGCATTATTACCTTTTTTCTTGTAAATTTAAAAATGAACAAAAAGAAATATATTTACTGTAAAAAAAGTTACAAATACTTGAAAGTACACTGGTTATGCTTTTCCTATTTTCGAAACGTGGCTATCAATATTTGCTTAATGAATATCAGTATTTACCTGAATTATCTTGAATTCATTTTGAAGTTAATTGTTGTAACCTATATCCGTATAGATAAATATAGTTGATTAAATTTAATCAAACAATTAACCTCATCAGAAATTTATTCTGCATTTACAACGGTGAAAACTTATCAATAAGTAAAGGGCAAAATATATCGATTTAATTAACGCAAACAATCTATTTAATCTGAAATTTATTTCGTAATTAGAAGATTTTATAGACTCTACTTTAAACAGATCTATCAATTCAAATCTTTATTGAGAATTTAATATAAATGTTATTACAGAATAGCAGTAAATGTTTATTTAGATGTTGAGCTGTATTATGCAAAGTTTAAGAAATAAAATATTTAATTAAAACTCTTCACAACTAATTAATAAATATGTCATGAAAATCATGCAACATATTTATAAATATTTTATTTAAAAACATGAATCACTAGAAATGTTTATGTAAAAATTTAAAATTTAGGGATAGGTTAAGATGAATAAAACAAAATAAAAATTAAAAATATACATGCTGCAAAATTAAAAAAAAATATTATAACTAATTAAATGGTGAAACTTCTCTTTTTGTGCTAAGTAATTTGTTTAAATTAAAATAAAAAAATATTTTGTACAGTTAGATTATTTAAGGTAATTCGTTTATTTATCTTTAGCATAAATACCTTCAGCGTTTTATTCGTTTTAACAGTTAAAAAGATGCATTTTGAAAATTCAGCGCTAATTGAGCAGAAATAAAATTATTCAAAATTTTATTTGACGCTTCAATTTTTTTTCTTTAATGTAAGAAATATTAGTTATTCATTGAAACTATGACACACTATATAATAAACTGTCTAAACGTAATGATGTACATAATTACTTTTTTGAAGTGTGGATTTATAAACAAATATTATAAAATGTATTATTATCTTTTTTCTTGTAAATTTAAAAAGGTGCAAAAAGAAATATGTTTATTGTATATAAAATTAAAAATGTCAGGAAGTACATTGGTTATGTTTTTGATGCATATTTAAACCAACTTAAAATACTTTAAAGGACGTGTTTGTTTTTAAAGTTTTTTTAAAAATTCAAACGAAATACAATACACAGATCTTTTGTATTTTAAGTACAACATCGACTTTATTCACTTAAAAGAACAAAATCATTGACTCATAGTA